AGAGTCTTTTTGGCTATTTTCATTATTGCGAAAAAAGTTCTGTAATGAAAAATTCTTCTTCCAAGAAGGAGGCTTTGTACATTTACAGTTAATTATATCTAGTTTGCACGGAAGTTTTGCTAAGGAAAATAAGCTATTTTTAAAAAGAAAATTAATATGGTAGAAGAATATAAGAATGTTGCCTGAAGTTCTAAGATTGTTATTTTAACTAGTATCCTTTTTTCTTTTCTTTTTTTTTTTTTTTTTTTTTTTTTCTTACACAAAAAACAAATTTAAACACTCAAAACCACTCTGGATATAACCTAAATTTAAAGAATCCTAGACCACATGTTAGCTTAAAACAACAAAGATGAAAATATTGGTCTGAATACTTGATAGACTAATACTATATGGTGGTGCCAAAACCTGACCAAGAAGCCCTTCCAAAGAAATTTGGCCATTTGGTTAAATTTTATGGAATTGGTCGAGCTAAGAATTTTTCAGTTATACCTTCTCACATAAAAAGTTTTATCCTATAGGATAATTCCGTCTGGATTACTGAACTGCAGTATATTTAACTTGATATTGAACAAAAATTTACTTGAACTCAATGTAAACATTTGAAAGAAAGGGGGGGAAAAACTGAGCAGAAGAAAAATAGTGGATGCATTGTGTTTATAAAAATTGATAATTCTGCTGCAGACATAATTTGGTTTTCACAAGTTCAGATTTACTCTTATCAAAAGTTTTGTTTTTAATATCTATCTAGATTATAAGAGATACGGAAAAAAATTATAGGTTTTTGATAATTAGATGTTAAATGGGAAACATTTTTTTTTATTTTTTAATATAAATTCATTCTTTTGTGCTGTGCCCATTCAGGACATAGGCAATCACAAATCTCCACAACTTCCTATCTAAGCTCTAAGCAATATTTGCTCCTTTAACTGTATCATCCAATCAATTTTCATTTACACAAGCTCATGTTAAAAAAATTTTCTGATTTTAAGTACAAATGTCCTTTTTGTTTCTATTTTCTTTAAGAGTTCTTCATTGTTTATATACTCTATCCATGGTATTCTCAGTATAGTTTTGTGGAACTACATCTCTTTTGCCAAAAGTCTCCTCTTCATCTGTGAGAAAATTGTCTAGTATTCACTGCCATGTAGGAGGACTGATATTACGTAATATTTTTTATTTATTAGCAGAAATCTAGTGAATCAAGTTTGCCTATAATGAATCAGGTCTGGTTGAAATCTTTCTATTAATGAGTATGTTATATTAAAACATTTGGTAATGAGAAAAAGGAATAATGAGGATTAGAGTGAAACAACATTTATTGTTGGTAGTAAATACAGGAATAGCAATTTGGCGTAAGCGTAGTGTCGGGAGTTGAACCATTTCTTGTGCCAGTGTGGCTGATGTCACAGGATACAGTCGGTGCACATTTGGTTGATCGAGGTCATAGTGGTAGGTTGTCTCGTCGGTTGGTAGACCTGTTGTGTTGAACCAGAGGGATGCCAGATTGGTGTGATCTTGGTAGGCCTGTTGGAATGGAGGTCGTGGTGTTGACTGTGAAGGAAATGCCTTGAAAATGAGTTGAAGTAGGCCGAGGTGACAGCATGGGTTGGTATTGTTGAAGGTTTGTAGCTGGGAGGAATCAAGGTTATGATGTTTCAAGTTGAAGCTGGATAGTTCTGCTGGGTGGCGTCGAGGTTGAGATGTTTAGAGTCAAATCTGGATAACCAAGGTGATAGGTCAAGCCAGGAAGTGGTAATGGTCATTGAGATGTGCAGTCATGTTTAGTGGGGGCAGCAACTGTGGTGGTAGTAGTAGTGCGCTGCATGAGGGCCTGCCCGCAACTCTGTTGTCATGGTGATGACATCATAGGGGCAGTAATAGCAGCAGTGCCTTGCATGACGGCCAGCAGCTGCACCGGGCCACAAATATTTTCTGATTGTTCTTAGAGCCTGCTTTTAAACAGATCTGGTAGTTCCCAGGGGCATCTCTTTTACCAACAGGAATGTTCACGATTAGCCAACACCGGAACTCACTTCATAGACTGGATGTGGTGCATGGAGCCTAATGTGCAAAAAACAACTTTTGTTATTTTGTTCTCTGCCTTTATGGTGTTCACATCTGGCCAGCATGCAGAATGAATCCGAATGAGATCTAATTGTGACAGTGTAACAAGTATTTCTTATTACTACACAGACTATACTTAATGGGTATGTGTTCAAGTAGGCATTCCTGTTTTTTAAACAGTGAAATTAATATCTACCAGCCTAGAAAATATGCCTCCCAACAGGAATCAAACCTGTATTCCCTTTTAACTCTGGAGAACACTTTGAACCCAACCGTGCTTTACCATTAGGCTACAAGAAGTTGCTATAGTAAAGCAAGACTCAATTACTCTTAAGAAAATATGGGAATGCAGGTTTGATTCTTGTCAGGAAGCACATTATTTTTAAGATTTTCAATCTTTAAGCCAGGAGATATTAATTTCTCTGATTAAAAGACGGAGATGTCTACTCAAACACATGTATCCACAAAATATGATTTTAATAATGAAATAATGTTGGCCTAAAATAATCCATTAACTGCTTAAAAATTACTATAAATGTGTGTGTACATATGCTTCCTGTATATACACTAATTCTTCTATTAGTTTATATGCTTCAGTCTAGTTTTAGCTTTTTCAAAATCTTCATTTTTTGCCTTTATGTTCTTGTCAAAAATACATACAAGATGTGAAGTCTAATTGTAAAAGTCTGCATTTTTACTTGTTTAAAATTTTAAAAAAATATGCAGAAGTTATATTTCTCTTGAAGAATTTGCTTTTTGAGTTCCTTTCAAAGAAGGAATTTTTTTTGTCAAAGGATTATTTAAAAGAGAAGTGAACACTAATTTTCTTTGCCAAGAAATAATTGAAGAAAAAGCATTTGAAGTTTTTTTTTCCTCCCTGTAATAGGATTCTTGCCAAAAGGTAGAGAAAAGAATAGGGAGAAGGTTTGTATACAATAATCATATATTGGAAACCCCTAAAGCAGCATTTATTTTTTTAATAATAATATGCATGTTCTTATTTGTCTATTTTTGTCCCTCATTCTAAAATAAACTCTTTCCTTTTTTTCTTTTAAAGAAACTTGATATATATGTGGAATGTGTATTCTATATATCTCCATATATGCACCCAATATATCATATCTTCATGCAGATACATATTTTAAAATGCATTTGTCAAGAATATGACTATATTTAAAAGTATGAAGCAATGCATTGATGTGTGTACATAATTTTTATTTACACAATTCTTTTATTTGAAAAGATATGTAGTTATCTTCTTTGTAATGTACACTGTTATCATGATGCTGTGTCAGTGCAGCTATGCCTTGAGATATGTACCTGTTCACAAAAAATGTTTGCATTTATGTTTAAGCACACTCTAATAGTGAATATTTAATGTATGATTTGATTATCTCTACCATTAAATGCACCATGAATTTGATGTAGAAAATAAATTGGATCTACTAGTGGAAAAGTTGGGAAGAGAAAGCAATAAATACTATTTATCAAAGTAAATTAATAATCAATTTTTCCTGTTTTTTCTTTCATTCTTGAATAATAAGTTACAGATATTTGAGAATTTAGTCAAGTTTTCTTGATTTTGATGTGTTTCTTACAAATGATCTTCTAATACTTTTTTTTTTTTTTTTACAAGTGTAATTTTTTTTTTATAATGTTAAATTAAACCAGGTATTGATTGTTAGTCTCATCTTAAAATGAAATTTTAAAGGAAATGTTTACAGAAAAAAATTTATATAGCTTTAATTTTGTTTCTTAATGTTGTAACCTAGAAAAGGTTACTGAATAAGGAATAACCAAAATGGAGGTAGGGAATGAAATGGTAATCTTTATAACATCAACAAAATACAATACTCGCCAGCGGCGTGAAGTAGGTAAACTACTACTTGTGATGGACTACTTAGACAGCACATTACCCCCCACTTACAATAGTGTCCAATGTATTTATGAGAATTGGGAATACCCATTAGTGTTCATAGGTACGGTATATAACACTTAGATAAAGCATGATCATTAATATTTTGATTAGTTTTCCTCTTCATTTTTGTTGATCTTTTATTGCAACACATGATTGTTTTGCATTCTGTGACCCATGAGAAATAACAAGAAAAAGTTAATGTCAATAATTCATGTAAGAAATTCAGATAATGTGATACTATTGCATTTACTATTAAGTGTAAACAAACAATATAGTATGTAGTGAAGATAGCTGAATATATAGAAATTATAGGATTAAATTTGAATGATGCCTGCTATATAATTTTCATAACCTAATTAATATGGTTTTATCCATGTCAGACTCTCAGAGATAGAAGATGGGTTTAATCACTCTTTGCAATTACTTCACTCACTCATATCCTTGTCTGACATTATTTAATTAAATCTGGAATCATTTTAAAGAATTTTATATAACTTTTTTATTCCAATTTTAATATTTCAGAACTTTCTCTCACCAACTCCAATTTTGCATTGTTTCATTCTTTCTTTGATTTCTATGTTTTTGATTATTAATTCTGAACATCTTTTGAACTCTCTTTTTATGACTATTAAAAAAAAAAAATAATTAAAAATGATAACTGTTATCCCAAAGAATAATATACATTTGACAGTCATAAGACTTGTAGCTTTCATTTCACTTAAAGCTGACATAAAACTCTCTCTCTCTCCTATCATTTTTCAAAATTTAATAGTGATGTTTATTTTTGGTGTTTGAGTTTTTCATATCTTATAGCAAAACTTAACTATTTCTATGGAATATTATTACAGCTGGGATAATCTATAACTTGTTTTTTTAAATTTATTTTATGGTTTTTAATGTGATCGTATTTTTTTTCTTCTGCAACTCTTTAATTTTTTTCTCACCATAACACTAAATACTTGTATTAAATTCTAACCCAGATTGTTTTTTTCTTTTTTGAATTTCAGTGGAGCCCAATATGTCTGCAGGCCCTCTTTCTACGTTCCACGTGATTGTCATCGCAGTGGTATGTGGTATAATTTTGATCGTGTTGGTTGTGATCCTCATCCTATTCCTCTATTGGCGCAGTCGTAATCAGAGTAAGTTTCTTTCAATAATATGAAGTGACAAAAGAACCATCTTGTTACATCGTGCTCTTTATAAAGCAAAATAATTACTTGTATGCATGCAAATATTGATATGATAATTTGGAATCTATTTGATAGCTATTGGTCAGAAATGCTAATGGCAAGAAAAGGTTGGATTTATATTAGAAATTAGTTTATGTATTTTGTCTATTTACAGTTTTGTCAGCTATAAACATAGTGAATAAATCAAATTTTACTTTGATTTACTTTTATGAACAACAACAACAATATATCTTAATGAAACAAAATTTCGTTAACAGTTCAGTTACCTTGAATGTATTCATCTTTATGAAACTTACATTGCCTTCTGTTCACACACACATATATATATATATATATATATTGTCTGATGATCGCAAAAGCAGGAAAACCCAGGATCACAAACTCGTATCCATATAACTGAATAATAATATATATATGTTTTCAAGATGTACTTATAAATCTTCACAAAACTTACATTACCTTTTTTAATGTATGTGTTTTCAAGATGTACTTGCATATCTTTACAAAACTTAAATTGCCTGCTGTCAACATATGTGTACATTTTCAAGCTACCATGAAATGTCAGTCTGTAGCATTTGTGTTGTAACCTAAATAGCACTATTTTAAACCAGTGTAGACATATATTATTGTACAACTGATATTGTGATGTATCATATTGTGTGTTGTGTTGTTTAGCTTAGTCTGTACTGCAGAGTATCTGATTGAAATCAAAATGGTGACACCCATAAGAAATCACCATCAGTATTTTCATATTCATTTGTTTCCAATAAATGGCAACTTTCTATTTTTCCCAAAATGTGTTAGCCCAGCCAAGCGACAATACTATAAAAATGAAAGAGTGAAAATGTTAATAAATCTCTGCAAACATTGCTGAGAACTACAAGGGATAGGAAATTGATAAGAACAATGACTGCCCACATCCTGAAGGGACACAGCTCATAATAATAATAATAATCAGGAGTAATTTCAGTCTCTAAGTTTCAAGTACCAAAGTTTGTATTTTTCCTGTAAATAGCAAGCATGATAAAATATTGAAAAGTAATTGTAACAAGTGAAGAGATTATCCACTTTCAGGATCAAAAATCTTTAGTCTTTTAAAATATTTCATAATGATGGTCAGTAGTATTGCAACAGACATTTTGTTTTTCTGACAAACCACTAACCATTTACTGTTTATGTGCAAATGAGAACAGGCTCCTGTTAGATAACTTAGGTTAATATACAAGAGTAGTCTGGCTGCCTACATAAAAATGAATATCTTTTTGAAAGTCAATATCTTGTTATATATGCATTTTACTTTCTACTGTCAAACTGACCTAATATTGTTAGTAAGAAAATGATATCTATGATCAGTATTCCGAGATGAACTTCGGTAATTTTAGTCTTCAGTCACTTTGGCTGTCTTGTAAATAAACTTTTTAAGCTATTGTTTCAATCTTTTCTGTTTTCAACAAAAAGACAGTTACATTTATGCTCATGGGTTCAATGTTATTGAGTTAAAATGTTTCACCTATAAGCTGTTATTAAAGGTAACTGTTATCTTTCCCATATATCTAAATAAACTGAACCCCTTACTCTTACCATTCACACAAAAAACACTTTCAGTAACTCTCTACCTTTAGTGGCTCTTGGGCCTTGTATAGTGTGAACATTGGTAAAAAAAAAAAAAGAAAATTTAAGATTTAATAATGGAAGTATGATTTAAATCTAGGGTTCTCAAAGTGAGTGGTATGGATACCCCTTGTAGGTGGTGGAAACATCCAGGGTTTGGTGTGGAAAAAGGGACAGTTAGAAAAAAGTGAATGATAGGTAGGGTGGAAGAGTGGCATTAAAACCAAGTAATAATTTTTTTACTTCTTTACATTATATTCAGTAAAGTTTCAGTGCAGTTGCACAGCTTTTTTCCTAGCAAAGAAACAGATGGAAAATTATTGAATGCAGGGATCTAAAACTTCTCAGTGACTTCCAGCCTTATGTTGAGAAGCTGATATCCCTGCCCCAAGAACATCCATCACATTAAAATTGTAAATTTACCTTTTAACTAAGTATATTGGTTTACTTAGTTAAATTGTTTTAAAGTGCATATATGTGTTTGCAGTGTTAGATTATTATTTTAAATTTGCAATATACCTAATACCAAGAAAGAATTATTTTCATATGGGCATAGGAGGAGGAGTTTGAGAAAGATAAGGCATGAAAGAGAAAAAGTAGGAGGTAAGAAAAGAGGAAAACCAAATGAAAACTAGGTGAAATATAAAATAGCTTTTGATCCCTCCCAAAAAAAAAAAAAACACTTGACTAGGGTATTTCTAGAAGATAACATTTTTAAAGCAAGTAGTCCTTATAATTCCATTGCTTAATATCAAAACATAGGACATTAATAGTAATAAATAAAATTCTTTTGCTCTCTCTCTCTCCATAAAAAAATTTAAACTCAGAGTAAAGGCAAGTGAACATTTAATTTTGTCTGGTGCTCTTCTTATATATCTTGAGATTCTTGACAAAATCCAAAGAAACATCTGTTATATTAGAAATTTTTCAATTAGAAAAAATATAACACACACACACAAAAAAAAGACAAGCAGGCTGGATATCAAGTGAAAGATTGAAAATTAACTATGGATGGAAAGGTGTAAAGATTTGCAATGCATTAAATTTCTTTATGGAAAGATAGAGCCCCCCCAAGATAAGCTTGCTGTATGAATTATTTGTGCATTCCTTATTCCTTTTTTTGCATTTGAAACTTATCCATATTTGTATGACATTCAAATAAAAACCTGGATGGGCAATGAGAAGCAGAAAGAATAAGGAAGAATAAGAAGTGCAGAAAATCTTGCAATAATGGATAATCTTAGCTGTCAATACATCTAGAATTTCCATAGATCCAGCCTATTACATAGTATTATTTTAATTAATGCTTCTTTTTCCTTTTTGTATTTTTATCTGAAGCTATGGCCAAAACTTTTGTTTATTTCATTTTGATATTATTTGAAAACCTCTTGATACAAATTACTGGATAACTGGTGATGACAGTTTCAAAAGCAGCTGGATAATTTGTTTATGAGAAATAATTTGCACATTATTCTGTTTCTTCTCCCCAAAGCAACACTATATCAATTACAAAAAATATTTTTTTTAATGCCTACGTTTATAGAAAGTCTAACATACAATGTTACATCCTGTTTCATCCATTTTGCTTGTTTTTTGTGGTTTTTTTTTTGCATTTACTCACTTTTACCTGCTACTATACTCTTTTCCTTTGTACTCCCTTCAAATATTGTTTTCTACATGGTACATGCTCTTGTTCCCTCTACCACAGTTGTAAATTTCTTCTCTACTTAATAAGTGTCAAAAGAATAGAAAATATTAATTTAATTACTTTGCCTTTTGTCCTTCATCTGTCATTTTATGAGCTTACTCTTTCCTATGTTATTCTATAGTTAATTTCCTGTTTATTCCTATTTTTCTTTTCCTTGCTTATCATTCCCCCCCACTACCACCATCATTTGATATCACCTCTCCCCCTCCCTCAAAAACTGCATTTCACACTTTTTTTCCTCCTTGATACCAATTGTTTCATCTAATTGACTTTCTCAGAATGGGGCTCCATCCTTTGTTTTCAATTTTCTCCTCCCCCTTTGCTTGTCCAATTGCTGTTTCTTTACTACTTACATTTACTTTAACCATCTCAAAACAGTAGAATTAGATGCTCACTGCACTCAATTATCTATCTCCTCCTCCTTTACATTGCCCTTTGCCACAATTCCCCCTGTTGCAACAACAATAACAACAGCAGCAGGAGCCATTATGGCTGGAAGAACCGTTTCTATTTTCAATTAGTTTCAAATTATACCATGGCTTAAAAATCATTTGTGCTCTCTTTAACAAAAGATAAAGAGAACAGAATTCTTGGCCAACCATTACTGACAATTACAATAACAAAAACAGCTATGGTTGAAAGAAGAAAATAAACTTGGATTCTTTTGCTAATGTTCAACTATTTGAGGGATCAAATTCATAGAAATTGCTTCAGTTTCTTTAATTTTAGCATGTCGGTTTTTTTTTGTTTTTGTTTACTTCTCTACCTCAACTGTTTTTGTTTTACTTCCTTCCAAACAATTAATGCAGAGATAAGAATAAAAAGATTCACTTGTCTTGCATTGAGCAAACATTTCCAATATTTCATCCATTTAGTCTTATGTCTCTGTAGGTGGTATGATTTTTTTTATTATGAAACTTTAATTAAAACAACGTTTTTCCACTAGAAAACTCATTTTCCAGAATTTGTTTGTTTTCCAACCTTTTTATAATGGTTTCTTCTAATTGTTTTAATTGCTGTTGTACATCAATGAAAGCCCTGGCTCTTATCTGAGTCATCAAAACAATTTCTGGTGTTCATATTTCAAGTACACTTTATAATAATAATTTAGAATTATGTATTATTTAATATTTTATTTCTATAAAATAAAAAATTAAATATAAAATAATATGAATATTTATTTATTTATTTATTTTTTTTTTTTTTAAGGTATTTCAATATTTTTTGTACTCTAAAATGAAAAATGACTTATAATGAAAAATCATTAAACGGAATCTCTCTTCAATGCAATAAAATACATTGTTTCCTTCTGCTAGTTAAATAAACCATAAAGATGTATAATCCAGAAAAATTAAACAATACTGAATCAATACCCTTTTTTCTTTTCTAATGTAATTTTACAAGGTTATAAGTATAAAACAATCACCTAATAATCATGGCAATAACAGGTTGATGAAAATTATTTCATATGTGGATGATATTAATTATAATAGCAACACAATTATTGGTTTTCTAATAAGTAATTTGATGCAGTCACTGCAGATTCACTTCTAAGAAAACAATTTCAGAACCACAATCAGTTTTTGTAAAATGAAGGACAATCCTTATTGATTGAGGCAGGGTTTTGAAA